CATAATGTGTTTTTTCAATTCTTCAGACAGCAGTAAATAAAGTATCCCTTAACACAGGTACTCCTCGACTTACAAACATTCGTTTAGTGACCAGGTTACCATGATGCTGAAAAAAGTCACTTACCTCACACCTACAACCGTTGCAGCATCTCCACGGTCACAAATTCGGGTGCTTGGCAACTGGCCTGTATTTATGACCGTTGCTGTGTTTCAGAGTCATGAGAACCTCTGACAAGCAAAGTCAACGGGGGAAGCCGGATTTGCTTAACAAGTGTGTGATTCACTTATCAACCACAGCAGAAGAGTCATAAAATTAGGCACAACTCACTTAACACCACCTTATGTAGCAACGGGAGGTTCCTGTCCCAATTGTAAGTCGAGGATTATTTGTAACACATTAGAGCACGGGTGTCATGTGACATGTCTGGCGTATCGAGACTTTTTTTGCATTGCCGAAGCTGGAATGGGCACGGCCTTAGCATGATGCAACTGGCCCGTGGGTGGCAGTTTGACACCCCTGCATTAAAGCATGGTTAAAAACTCCCCTCCCTTCCTCCTTTCTCTCCTTAAGCTTCCTTTGTAGATCAACTTGTTACACCTGCTTTTTCCAATTCTGCATAAGCATCAGACAGCAGTTCCCTACATCCACCAAACAAAATGGAAAGACTGTGTTAAGCAGTTGTGTTTGCCAAGCCAGGGCAAGAATTGTTGTTTTCCCTGAATCTTCCCCTTTATTTGTGGTATTTGGATGCTCAGCGAGTTAGAAAACAAGGCAGTGGGATGAAGGGCAGAAACCTTCCTAGGACTGAAGTCTAGGCGTGACCAATCCTCCCACTGTCTAAAATAAAAATGTTATTTATCCTCCAGAATAAAGACATGCCCTACATCTTCTCCAAGAAGAGAGTCATCGTCATGCTTTGTCTCTGGTATCTTGGACTCCTGCCCTTCTGCCCTCTGAAGGAATCGTTCCTTGAATTCGTGCTGCCCTCGATCATAAACAGGTGACAGTCACTACAAGGGTGGGATTCAGGCAGAAAAACATACAGACTTAGAAACATGGTCGTCTATCTACCGTAATGATCAGGCTTTGGAAGTCGCGTGCTATATTTGCTCCCCACCCTCTTCAAATAGAGCTGTGTGCCAACTTTGGAGAAACACTTTCCTGGCATGCTAATTCTGAGAAAAGGGAGGGTTATTTTGTGTCCACGTCACACAATGGCCTTTCTGCAGGACCAGCAGCTAAGCAGCATCCAAGAATTCTCAACTGAGGAGAGCAGAGAAGTGAGGTTAATTGGTCTATCACAGGGGTAGGCAACCTTGGCTCTTTTATGACTCATGGACTTCAACTTCCAGAATTCCTGAGCCAGCATGGCTGAGCTTGGAAACTCTCCTTTTCCCCTCAGCATGGCTGGCTCAGGAATTCTGGGAGTTGAAGTCCACGAGTCATTAAAGAGCCAAGATTGCCTACCCCTGGTCTATCAGTTCCAGTGAGCCACGGCCAAGGCTGCCCTCTCAAACCCTTTGCTCTGGCTTTGCTTGCATTTTTTATGAGACAACCTATCTCCAGCTGCTCCTGCTCATCCAATACAGTTAGTCCTCGACTTACAACAGTTCATATAGTGACAATTCAGTTAGAACGGCACTGAAAACTGTGACTTACGACCGTTTTTCACAAGTGCCACCTTTGCAGCAACCCCATGATCATGTGATTGAAATTCAAATGCTTGCCAACTGGTTCATAGTTATGACCGTTTGCTGTGCCCCAAAGTCACGGGGTCATCTTTTGTGGCTTTCCGAGAAGGAAGTCAGATTCATTTAAAAACTGGATTACTAACTTATCAACTGCAGTGATTCACTTAACAATTGTGGCAAGAAAGGTCGTAAAATGGGGCAAAACTCACTTGACAAATGTCTCACTGAACAACAGAAATTTTGGGCTCAATTGTGGTCGTAAGTTGAGGACTACCTGTACAATCTGATAAGGTTGACATGTGCCAGGTCCCATCCATTAACCAATGTCATCTGATGGGACCCAAGCTATGTGCCTTTTCTATTGCTGTTCCTATGGGACAACATTTTTCCAAGATCCAAATGGCTCTTTCTGTCTTCTGAAAGGCTAGGAAGACCAGCCTTTTCCCAGGCATTCAATCAAGAGATGTGGGGAGTCCTTCTTGATCAATTGTTTCTGTCTGCAAGCTGCCTCTATTTGTTTATATTTTTTTCTTTTGCCAGTTGCCATTTTATATGCTACCCTGAGCATATACGATAGACCAGTGATGGCGAACCTTTTAGAGACTGAGTGCCCAAACCTCAACCCAAAACCCACTTATGTATTGCCGGGTGCCGGGTGGGCATGGCCGCCGGGTGGGTGTGGCCCACCGGGTGGGCGTGACTACAGTGGTCATGGCAGATGGGTGGGCATGGCCAGGGTGAGCGTGGCCAGCTCGATGTTGCTCCTGGGGAGGGACTCCTGTGGGGGCCGGGCAGGGTTGGAGGAGATCCAGGGGTCTCTGGCGGGTGGGGCGGTGGGTAGGAGGTTGGTGAGGTGAGGCAGGGCGGGGGTGCCATGTCACAGGGCAAGGCGAGGCAGGAGCTGGGGCGGCTGCTGCCTGACACCATCGGCCCCCGCACACAAAGGCCAGCAAGTGCATGGGTGCTGGGATGCATTCGGCCACGTGGGACCTCGGCGAGTTAGCGGGCAGCTGGTTGAAGAGGATGGTTGCCATCTCCAAGGCATGGCGCGCGTGCCCACAGAAAGGGCTCCGAGTGCCACCTCTGGCACGCGTGCCATAGGTTCGCCACCATTGCGATAGACAATGAGTTCTAGTCCCGCTTTAGGAATGAAAGCCAGCTGGGTGATTTTGGGAAAGTCAATCTCTCTCAGTCCAACCCACCTCACAGGATTATTGTTGTGGGGAAAATTAGGAAGAGTAATTGGTATGTTCCCGACATTCAGTTATTTATAAAAAAATAATAAAGATGGGAAACAAACAAACAAACAGTTTGTTTAGTCTAAAGAAAAGAAGGATTAGGGGTGACATGATAGCAATATTCCAGTATTTAAGGGGCTGCCACAAAGAACGGTCAACCCATTTTCCAAAGCAGCAGAAGGCAAGACAAGAAACAATGGATGGAAACTAATCAAGGAGAGAAGCAACCTGGAATTAAGGAGAAACTTCCTAACAGTGAGAACAATTAACCAGTGGAACGGCTTGCCTTCAGAAGTTGTAGGTGCTCCATCATTGGAGGTTTTAAAGAAGAGACTGGATAGCCATTTGTCTCAAATTGTGTAAGGTCTTCTACTTGAGCAGGGGGTTGGACTAGAAGACGTCCAAGGTCCCTTCCAGAAATATGAATACAGTACTCTTTTCCCCCTTCTCAAACAGCTTCTCCCCTTGTCACTCCTAGAACTAGTAAACATTTCACTGAACATCAACAGAAGGATGATAACTACATGGGAATTTTCGCTTCAGAGGCAATTGCTGTGAAGCATAGCAAGAAAGGACAGGAATTTTTATTTTTTTTTAGAAGGCATAATGTTGACTCTTTGAGAAGCAGGAAGTATTAAAATGTGAAAAACAAACCACAAAAGCAAATAACTCCAAAGACTTCAGGTGGAATTATTTGAATCTCTTTGATGTTCCAATATCTAAAAGGAATTCTGGAAAAAAAAAATGATGGAGGCAGATGTGGAAGATAAGCTGCTTAGCAAAATTGCAGGCGTCTCGGGTTGTCTTCTCCTCCCATCGGAGTCTTCTACCCAGCATCAACACAACAGAGTTGCCAATAAAAGCTGCAACCTTTGACATAGCGGTGGGAGGAGAATGGAGGAGATGCTCTTTTGCAGCTCTGCAGCCTCCAGCAATTAGTAGAGCAGCTAAACAAAAGAAGGTGTTTTCCTTCAGGAGCAGAGAGTGCAAAAGGGAAGTATAGCAACTGCAACAACACAAAGCACAATATAACAAAGAATGGGAAGAGCTCTACATGCAGCCATTAACAGGAAAAAAAGAAGAAATCTCAGAGGCAACTTACGACAGAGCAGGCTTAAGGAAGAAATGTTAATGCATAGTAGTAATAGTGTCGAGGACAGTATACAGCAGGGGTTCCCAATCTTGGCAACTTTAAGACGTGTGGACTTCAACTCCCAGAATTCCCCAGCCAGCTGCTGTATACAGGTAGACCTGAACTTATCACCACAAAAACCAGAAAGTCCATCATTAAGTGGTGCAGTAATTAAGTGAGATCTCACAAGAAAATACTCAGTTCTATCTCTTTTTTTTTTTACCATGGTCATTAAGTGAATCCCTGTGGTTGTTAAATAAGTCATCATGTGACTGCAACTTGTGACCTTCCCTGCCAGCTTCCCCACTCACTTTGCATTTCGGAAGCTGGATGGAAGGTCACAGACAGTTGTCCTATGATTGTCAAGCATCCCAATCACAATAATGTGACTGACTGTAAGGATGGGGAGACGGCCGTAAGTGCAAGGGCAGCCCTAAGACGCTTTTTCCCCCCAGCTGTCGTAACTTTGAACAGTCACCAAATGAATGGTCATTAGTGTGATGGAATAATGTGCACCTGGAGCAGCAGAGAAGGAGACTTTGGACCAAGCAGAGTTTTCCCAGAGAGAAAAGAGGGCACAGCCTCTTAATCTGAGCATTTTTCTAAGAAAGCCCAAACTTTGCAATAGTTGAGGAGAATATCTGTGGCTCGGGTGTAGGATGAGGGTAAAGGTTTTATATATATATTAATATATTTTATTAATTTTTAACATGGTCACCTTAATATTCGATAAACAGTGTGTTGTCTGGGTTTACATTTAAAAAACATTCGCTAGCCATTGGTTTCTATGATCTATAATCCACATAATAGCTTTACTTGATTTCCTCTTCTTCCCATAATGTTGTCTTTTACCAATCTTAAGTTAATACAGTTCTTATTGTTTTGATAGATAACAATTGAATATAATTTTTTTTCTAATATTTCCGCAAATAATAATCACATCAATGTAATATTTCTTTTCTATCTAGTCATTCTGGTTGCCTCATCATAGATCCCATTTACAGTTCTTGTTTACATTTGTTTTTCCCACAATATTCAAGACATTCTTACTGGTTAAGATTTTCTCAACGTTAATTACATTTAGATACTTGATTCTATTTTTTCTCATGTAAACCATCCCATAACTTTTACCTTACTTAAGGAATAAATAAGACTAAAAAAAGAGAAAAAAAGAACAAGAGTAAAGAGGGATAAAAAGATAGTATACTACTGAAAGTCCAGGTAAGGCAGGGATAGGCAACCTTGGCTCTTTTATGACTCGTGGACTTCAACTCCCAGAATTCCTGAGCCAACATGGCTCAGCTTGGAAACCTCTCCCTTTCCCCTCAGCATGGCTGCCTCAGGAATTCTGGGAGTTGAAGTCCACAAGTCATAAAAGAGCCCTGCCCCTAAGCTAATACATATTTATTTCCAAAGTTTTTCCATTCTTTTTTTTACCATAATTAAGAATATATTTAATCTTTAAATATTCCATTTAATAAATCTGGTCTTTTAACTCTTATTCAAAACATTTTTTTTTCAATCCATTGTAATTTTCTTAAAATCAATCACATTTAAATATCTAAAATATGTCTAAAATATGAGGGTAAAGGTTTGTTCTCCGAGCTTCGCCTGAATGCCGCTGAAGAGGTTACCTAGCTTGGTAACAAAACGTTCGGGAACCCGCCCACAACCTCAGAGAACGAACCTTCACCCTCAAAGCCAAAAGTCCCGCTGTTTGTTCCTGCAGGTACACATTCCATCACATCAAGAGAGGACAAGCTGTATAGGAAATTGTAGCAAAACAATGTTCGTTTGTTTTTCATTCAATCTTGTCTGATTCTCAGAGATTGCGGTTTTCTTGGCCAGGTTTTTCAGAAGTGGTTTATCACAGACTCCTACCCTAGGGCTGAGAGAAAGTGACTGGCCCAAGGTCACCCAACTGGTTTTGTGCCTAAGGCGAGACCAGAAATCCCAGTCTCCTGGTTTCGAGCCTAATGCCTTAACCACTATGCTAAACTGGCTCTCTTAGAATAATAACAGTATAAATAGTAACCGTAATTGAGGAGTAATAATATATTGCAATAGTCATTACCTTAGGAATAGTATAGGGTTAACAATAGAATAGAATAGAGGAAGTACTCATGTATCATTTTGTTTTTATCAAATAAAAACAAATCAAGTTGTCTGCTAGGTTCCTGGCAAACCTAGCAGACAACTTTGTCTCCCAAAAAGTAGAGAAGGGAACTAGGGGATTAGCCATTTTGGATCTAATTCTCACTAACAGAGATGAAATGATAGAAGGTGTTGAAGCCATAGGAACCCTGGGAGGAAGTGATCATGCAATATTAGAATTCAACATTATGGAAGCACAAGCAATAGAACACAGTC